TATGATTGTATGAACTATGAAAAGATCTTAAAATCAATACAAATGTATTTATTATAAACGTTAGTCCTTAACACCTATCACTGTGTACATCACCATTCAAACATTACATTGCATTTAGCTGACGCTTTTATCCAAAGCGACGTACAATAAGTGCGTTCGACCAACAAAATACAAACTTTAAGAAAACAGAATCATATAAGTACATCAGGTTTCATAGAGCAAAAACATTTCAAGTGCTACTCAACTGGCTTTAGATAAGCCAGTCCTTTATTAGTATATAAGTGCTTTGTTAATAGTTCTATCGCTCGAAGTGGAGTCGAAAGAGATGAGTTTTCAGTCTGCGCCGGAAGGTGTGTAAGCTATCTGCTGTCCTGATGTCAATGGGGAGCTCATTCCACCATTTTGGAGCCAGGATAGCAAACCCACGTGTTTTTGCTGATGGGAACTTGGGTCCCCTTCGCAGCGAGGGTGCAGCGAGCCGTTTGGTTGATGCAGAGCGTAGTGCACGTGCTGGGGTGTACGGTTTAACCATGTCCTGGATGTAGGAAGGGCCAGATCCATTCGCAGCATGGTACGCAAGTACCATTGTCTTGAAGTGGATTCTAGCAGTTACCGGAAGCCAGTGGAGGGAGCGGAGGAGCGGCGTGGTGTGGGAGAATTTAGGAAGGTTGAAGACCAGACGAGCCGCTGCATTCTGGATGAGCTGCAGAGGTCGGATGGCACATGCAGGTAGACCAGCCAGGAGGGAGTTGCAGTAGTCTAGGCGTGAGCTGACGAGAGCCTGGACCAGAACCTGTGTGGCTTTCTGGGTCAGCTGGGGACGTATCCTCCTGATGTTGTAAAGCGTGTATCTGCAGCAGCGGGTTGTAGCAGCGATGTTTGCAGTCAAGGACAGGTTGTTATCTAGGATCACACCCAGATTCCTTGCAGTCTGAGTCGGGGAAACAACAGAGGTGCCGATGTTGATTGTTAGGTCAAGAGTGGGACAATCTTTTCCCGGAAGGAAAAGCAGTTCAGTCTTGTCAAGGTTGAGCTTGAGGTGATGAGCAGACATCCACTGAGAGATGTCAGCTAGACAAGCAGAGATGCGTGCGATGACCTGGGTCTCTGAGCGGGGAAAGGACAGAATTAATTGGGTGTCGTCAGCGTAGCAGTGGTATGAAAAACCATGCGGGCTAATGACAGATCCAAGCGAGTTTGTGTACAAGGAGAAGAGGAGGGGACCGAGAACAGAGCCCTGAGGGACCCCTGTAGTTAATTGACAAGGGTCGGACTCCGACCCTCTCCAAGTAACCCTGTAGGTGCGGTCTTTGAGGTATGAGGTGATGAAGGAAAGTGCAGAGCCTGAAACTCCAAGTTCTTGGAGAGTGCGAAGGAGGATCTGATGATTCACCGTGTCGAATGCCGCAGACAGGTCCAAAAGGATGATGACAGAGGATAGGGAGGCTGCTTTAGCAGTGTGCAGTTCCTCAGTGACAGCAAGGAGGGCAGATTCTGTGGAGTGACCTGCCTTGAAACCAGACTGGTGCGGATCCAGAAGGTTGTTCTGATGGAGATAACAGGAGAGTTGTTTAAAGACAGCGCGTTCAAGTGTTTTAGACAGGAACGGGAGGAGAGAGACAGGCCTGTAGTTTATAACATCAGACGGGTTGAGAGTGGGTTTCTTTAGGTGAGGGTTTACTCTTGCCTCCTTGAGACTGTTTGGAAAGTGACCAGAAGTTAGAGAAGTGTTGATGAAATGGGTGAGAAATGGTAGAATATCAGGAGCGATAGTCTGAAGGAGGTTTGAAGGGATAGGGTCCAGAGGACAGGTGGTAGGGCGGGCAGAGGTAATGAGGGTAAGAACCTCACTTGGCGAGAGAGGGGAAAAGGAGGTTAGTGTGCGGGTGGAAGGAAAGTCTGGTGACCCAGCGGTGAGTAAAGGTGAGTCAGAAAAAGAAGAGCGAATAGCATCAACCTTTTTTTCAAAGTGGTTAACAAAGTCGCTTGACAGAAGTGAGGAGGGGGGAGGGGCTTTGGGAGGGTCCAAGAGGGTGGAGAAGATGGAAAATAGTTTTTTAGGATTGGAATAGGAAGATTGGATCTTATCTTGAAAGAAAGTGCTTTTTGCTTGAGAGATCGAAGCAGAGAAAGAGGAGAGGAGAGCCTGATAGGTTAGGAGGTCGTCGCGGTGTTTGGATTTCCACCGTTTCCGCTCTGCTGCCCTAAGGACGGTTCTATTAGCACGCAGTGCGTCATTTAGCCAGGGAGCAGGAGGGGACTGACGAGCCTGCCAAGATGTGAGAGGACAGAGAGAGTCCAGAGAGGATGAGAGAGTAGAGAGGAGAGTTTCTGTAGCAGAGTTTGGAGGCAGGAGTTGGAACGAGTCAGAGGAAGGGAGGGCTGAGAGCACCGATGAGGCAAAGGTAGAGGGGGAGAGGGAACGGAGGTTACGGCGGACAGGTGCAGGATGAGAAGAGATTAGTTTGTTATTTTTGGAAAGGGGTAGAGAGAATGAAATGAAGAAGTGATCAGATGTGTGGAGCGGGTTTACAGAGAGGTTAGAAGTAGTGCAGTTCCTTGAGAATATGAGATCAAGGACATTGCCAGCTTTATGAGTTGGTGGGGATGGAGACAGTGAGAAAGCAAAGGCGGTTAACAGAGATGTTAGTTCGTCTATCTTCCCCGTCTGGAGGTTGAAGTCTACGAGAAGTACAGCGGGAGGGCCAGTTTCAGGGATGTGTGAGAGGAGATTATCTAATTCCTCCAAGAAGTCCCCCAAGGCGCCTGGTGGACGGTAGAGAACAACAATGGTTAATTGTATAGGATGGGTTACTGTGACAGCATGGAATTCAAAGGTGGAAGGAGTGCAGTTAGGTAGCTCGAAGAGGGAAAAGCTCCATTTCGGAGAGAGCAGGAGACCAGTGCCACCTCCTCTGCCAGTGGGTCTGGGTGTATGGGAAAAGGAATATGCTGTGGAGAGAGCTGCTGGGGTGGATGTGTTGAATGGAGTAATCCAGGTTTCAGTGAGAGCAAGGAAATCCAGGGTCTGCAGGGAGGCGTAGCCAGAGATGAAGTCAGCCTTAGGAACAGCTGACTGGCAGTTCCACAGGCCACCTGAAACTAGATGTTGGATCTCAGTGGAGCACGTGGGATAGACGACAGCAGGCCGGTTATAGCGATTAGGAGATACACAGGGCCAGTGATAATTGCGAGAAGACACATGAACAGGAATGGAGAAAATACACATGATTATAGCATGAGGGGCTAGAAAGCTAAATAAAATAAAATAAGACACCAGCGATACTTAGCTCAATCAGAGTAGGATTTGCCTAATCTTTGCCACCCTCGTGACTCCAGCAGGACTCCAATGTCTTTGTCAGTCTTACTCCAGCAGGACTCCAATGTCTTTGTCAGTCTTACTCCAGCAGGACTCCAATGTCTTTGTCAGTCTTAGCCTGTCTGACGCTCCAGGAAAGAGCTACCTAAAATGGACGCCTGATTGCTGAGTTCTCACAGCTTTGGGGCCACGCCCCTTTAATTAGTTAACTCTCTACAGCTGATGGGCGACAGCTGAGAGGCCCTGCCTATTGTAATGCAGGCTTGAGTGCCTACTGAGACCTGTGTAACAGGTTCACGTGAGCAGATCTGAGATTTAAAATCTCTCAAAAGCGCCGTTTTAGCTACAATAACTACAGAACAATTATACAGAGTAGAATAAATGAAACAGAGAAGTCTAATTAAACAAGAATATAACTTACAGTGGTTGCTGCGTCAATAGGTATTGTCGTCACCCGGTCTATTCGGCACATGTGCAGAATAGACTATTCTAACCGGCGTGTGTCCTGCAGCATAGCCTACTGTACTTCTCAAACCGTCTGGAAGATTTGAACTGAGACATTCTATACACTGTAAAAAAAGATCCTAATTTTACAGGAAATAATTAATGTTTTATAGTAATTATCATGTTTTTTAAATAACTTGCAAAATCCTGTAAAATTACAGATATGAACTATACATTAACAACCCAAAACATTATTTTAAGTATTTTGACAATAACAACAAATAACATTTATTTCATTTTTTTTAAAGTACATTTACTATATAAAATGTACAGTATATTTGCACTTTCAGAACATATATGCAGATGTACGTACAATTACAATTATTATCTGCAATTAAATATGTAACTCGTAATATAAAAGTGTATTACTGTATTTAAGATATTTCTTTGTAATTTTAAGGTAAACATAAAACTGAGAAAAAAAGTGTCAAATAAAAATAAAAATAAAATTTAAGTAAAACATTTTTACATAAAACATTTTCTCAATATTCGATTGAATCCACCACAAACACAAAATATCCAATGTTGAAACAAAAGTAAATACATAATTATGTTTTCATGAAATTCCTAACTTACTATATTATAAACATCTACAGTTGAAAATATCATTAAAAAAAATCAAAAATCATAGAAAGTGGAGAAATCTCTGCAGGGAGGACCAAGGTTTAAAACACACACTGTTATTTACTCAACAATAAGTCAGTTATCCTTGTTTTATTTGTGTTATGTTGCTGTGGGTTTTTTCCATTGGTCAATATACAGCAGGGCTTCTCAAACTCCGGACTAAGGATCCGGACCGAACTGCAAATCAATCCGGACCGAACCCTGTGTCCCATTATTTAAAAAAAATAATAAATCTGATTTTGATAATAAATAAAATAAAAGTGGACCTATTATGCTATATTTAACAAATATACTGTAGGGCCATACCGATACAAAACATGTCTGTGAAGTTTTTTGCTTAAAATACCAAACAGTTCACCCATTGTAACCATGCCTCATACTGCTCAAACCCCTCTTTTGCAGCTCTGTTAGAGAAACGCAGATTTTGGGTCCTTGGCTTGAAAAAAAAAAAAGAGGAGGCGGAGCTAATGCCTGATCAGAATTCTACCACAGATAAAGTTACATTCTGCTGTGATAAAACGCCATCCTGTTCTAAACCACATCAAAGATTATTTCTGCGGGTTTATCACAAGGTGAGTTCCTTTTTTTATTTCCTGCTTTTTAAACACATATCTCTGAGTATTAGCGAGGCTTGCAAAAGTAAACAAAGACGAGGTTACTTTACTGGCATTGATCCGGACCATTGACCTAGTATAAAATTCACAAGTGGACCTTTAACAAAAAAGTTTGAGTACCCCTGAGATAGGGGATCTATTGGCAGCTGCTGATAATAACATTCATCATTATGGTTTACTAATTGTTGTCTTTTTGTCCTCTAGGTTGCACTGCCACATCTACAGTAGTGCAGAATGGACAGAGGAAACATGATTGGGCCTCGAGTTTTTTGCAGCCAATATACATTCTCCTACAAACTTGGGATAGGAGGGTGAGTGAACAAGTTATCCATTGGTTGGAACCTACATCCCCATTGTTAGACGTACTAAATCCTGCTCCTTCAAATTGATAATGTGAACATATGTCGCCATTTTGTAATTTCTGTTATTTTCAGTTGAGAATGTTTCTTCAATGTTTCAAAGTCATCTTAAAAAATTAAACTTACTTTTTGTTTATACTGTTTATAAGTAGATGTTTTAATATTAAATGCTGTATTTATTAATGGTTGTATAATTCTACAAATATTTTTATATTTTAAGTTTTAAAATGTTTATAGTAATTGTTCCCTACAGAACATTTTGTGCTGTAGAACTTTAGGTTCTGTATTTATTTTTGTGTTTGATCATAAAAATCGAATAATTTTTTTTTGATTTGACCCAACTAGACTCATGGGTGAGATGCTTTTTGTGCATTTTTTCTTGTTGTATGTGAATGACGTGATTAGTCACGTTATCCAATAGTATTTGACAGGAAACCATTGTATGAGCTTCCTCCAGGAAGTACCGGAGCTGGGGACTACAGTTATGCACGTCTATCATTGTAAATTGACAGTAAATTGCTGGCAACTCTTTTGCATTACTTTCACAGTACACATTGTAAATTCACAGTAAATTACTGGCAACTCCTGCATTGCTTTCACAATAGAAATGTAAAAGTACAGGCCCTTGTTGTAAGAGAATATTTTCATCTGATCTGTTTATAGAGTTTCTTATTGTTTTATAGAATCTGTGATACTGCAAACATCTGCTTGTCGTCAGTCAAAGACTCCTGTGTAGGTTGAGGCTTGTCTGGATCTCTTTGAGACAAAGCAGACCATTGTCTCGCATCGGCTATTGATTATACGCGGGCTTTCTGGGAGCCCGCCTCTCCTCGTGTTGGTTAGAGGTTTTGTGTCTTTTGGTTCAGAGATTACCTTGGTGGAGCACAAGGACAGTGTGAAACTAGGATGATTTCCCGGCCGTATGTAATTGTCTGTCTCTCAATAAATATCAGTGTATTGACAGGTGAATCCAGTTTCCCTCATTTGATGATGCGCTCAACATTGCTGCAAAGAAGTTTTAACTTCACAATTGGCGTCGCGAACGGTTACCAACAAATCGTCGAGCTGGTGAGTGTAATTTCAAATCTATATTTTGACATTGCCTCGCCAGACTCTGTGATTGACGGTATAAAATTACCTGTGGAACAGATAGATGCAATATTTTTGGTTTCCTCTGTGTGTGTGCACGGCAAATATTCGGAGAGACCTTAAAGAGGGCATCAGTAATGTGGAACTTCGGTTTAAAAGCAATGTAAAGATTTGTACTGAAACGAATCGCCGAATTCTGGAGATTTCAACGGTTGAACTAGTTAAATCAACTCGCCTCGAAATCACCCTGTTGCTGCTGCAGGAAGAGGGTGTGGGTAATTCCCCTCCCCCCCCCCCTGTGGGGAGCAGCACACGAAACAGAACACAGTGTCGTATTATTTTTAAATCGCACCAATATGAGTTTTGGAACTAAACAGAACTCTTATTAACGGGAAACGTGATACGAAATATTACGTCACGCTGTGTTTCATAAACTGAGGGGTTGTTGAATTTGGCTGTTGTTAAAATAAAGGGTACTGAATTCATTAAAAGTCTCTGCCTCTCCGGATCGGGGAGGGCAGAGCACCACTAAATTAGCATAGTGGTTGCTGATTGAGAATAATGTGGTTATTACTCTTCAGCAGATTCCGTTCTTAGAATTAATTAAATTAATTAATATCTCTGCTCTCGGTCGGTTGAGCAGTTTTACCACTACATTTGCATAGTGGTTTTGATTGAGAATAAGGTCGTTTATTGCTCATCAACAGAATTAATGTTTAACAACACAGACTTGTATTTTCTGTTAATCACACCATAAGCTCAAGAACTAAATTGAGCTATTAAATGGGAAGGGTGGTGGCAGAATATTACATTCACACTGTTTAATAAACTTACGGATTATTGAATTGGATTTTGTTAAAAAAAATAAATAAATAAAAATTAAATTAAAAAAACAATAAGTAAAAATAAGTACTGATATTTCCCTACCCCCGCTGAAGTTTCCCTAATTCGGATTAAAATTAAACTGGATGAGTTTAGCTGTCACCTGATATTTGTTGCGGGTTCATGTTTGTTTGTATAATTGTTTCGTGTTTGTTTGTATACCTGCCGTCTTGTGCATGTTTTTGTAACAACTAATAAATTAATCAGTCCACAGCCAGGGTAAAATGAATCTAAATTTCCGCAAAAGGAAAATAAATAGCAAAAAAGCCTCTGTTTTACACCCGGGAACCTCAGAGGCATAACTGCGGGTCATCTGTCTGCTCAAATAGGTCAATGTTGTATTATTTGTTTCATTTATTCTTAATCTATGTATTGTATGGTAATAATGAAAATAAAATAACCTAATGTATTGAACACATTCCGAAACAAAGCAGATAAGACAAGACTTAGACACAATGGTGATTGAACCTTTTTGCACGATTGATGCAAAATGAAAACTTTGTCATTATCTGTTTCCAACTGGCCACTGGAATCAGATAATGGATATGAGTTGAAGTTCAATTACAGTTTTAAATATAGTTCAACATTCTTTATTTAACTGTTTGAAATTATTTCTAGTCAAAATCCCCTCCTTTTCTCTACTCTGCTTGGTGCTGCAGAAGAAGAAAATAAAATAAAACGCAAGACACGAGGTCAGAGACAGGCGTGACCTCTGGAAGGAGAAGATAATTTGAAGCAGACCACAGCACTGCCTTGGGGGTTTTATGATCTTGAGCACAAAGGAAGATCTAATTTCAGCAGTCAGTTTTTTTGGCAGAACTTTTGAGCATTTTGAAAATGTCTTTTCTTGCCTCTGTGCAAGGCTTAGTCTTTCTATCTGTATAGCCACTGGTGTAAAGTAACTAAGTTCATAAACTCCACAAGTCCTATACTTGGGCACAATTTTGAGATACTGGTACTTTATTTGAGTATCTAAAATGTTTTGCTGCTTTATTTTTCTACTCCACTACAGTTCAGTGGTAAATGGTGTACTTTTACTCCACTACATGTATTTAATACCTTTAGTTACTTTCAGATGTGGATGAATGATGTGAAATCTAATCAAGTGTTTAATCAGACTTTAGTTCCACCTGGAGTGAATCCACCAGCTACCGTATGCAGTATACAAAGTCATTCAAACTAGCTGCACCTTCACCAGCTTTGAGAACACTTTCATGATCAATCATTATAAAACATATCATATATAGTATTCTGGAATAAACCAATCTGCACAACGACTACTTTTACTGTCGCTATTTTCACTATATTTTGATGACAATACTTTTATACTTTTACTTGAGTAACATTTTGAATGCAGTACTTTTACTGTAACTTAGTATTCCTACACTCTGGTACTTCTACTTGTACTCAAGAACAAGATCTGAGTACCTAAGCTAACGTTAGCCAGAAACCTTCCATTTTGACACAAAGAACAATGGGGTAATTTCAAAGTAATTCGAAGTAATTCACACAGCCTCTTCCCTATGGGAGGAGCAGCAGTTTCAGCTTCATTTAAATATGTCGCGTAGTTATAGATGGATTTATTTTTTCCTCTAAAAGAGAGAATGTGTATTTTATGTTAGTATTTCAAAAATCTCCTGGGGGAAGAATCCCCCCAGACCCCCTGCGGGGGTTGGGTTTTCAGCATGTGAACTCTTTCACTTGTGAGGAAATGGCAGGATTGGCTCCAGGTCGCCTTTTTATTTACTACAAGACAAATGTTTTTATTTTATTTTAATTTCATACAGTTCGATTTGGATTGAGACAGGGAAATATTCTAAACCTCACGCGTGGCGTTTCACTGACAAGGGGGCGATATAGCGTGTATGTAATTACATTTCAAATACTGATTTGAGCCCCACCACTGTATGGGTTAGCCCTACCATAGATTATCTAACACAAATACTCGGGAGCCGATAAGTCAATAAGTTGCTTATCGCGACAGGCACACAATAAAACAGTGGAAACAAACATGTGTTTGACTTTCATTATTTAATGAAACTGTGTGCCCTTTATAGTCTGTGTCCAATATTGTGTATTTGTATATATATATTATATATATATATCCTAAATATATGCTAAGGTCCCGCTACGGACACGATAGCAGTCGCTTCGTGCGCATGTGTGTAATTAAACCCATGATATCAAAATCTCACTCCAGCCAGGTACCCAAAGTTAGCAACCCTGTCCATACCCCAATAATATTTTATTGATGACAAGTTTGCATCCCTGCCTGTTATCGTTTTCATCACGGAGCTGAAAAAAATAAATAAAAATGGTGTATTGATTACTGATCTGTGCAAGTCCAATTTGTTAACTGACTTTGGTTCTAATGTTAATGTTAATTTGATTTCAACCCATAAGTAATTATTTAAATTAACTCAACATTCCACATGATGGATTAGTGTTCCACATTTTTCCCACTAATTTGTTTATGATTAGGCCAATGGTAAAGAGAGACTTGATGACCCTGTGTCCTTTTTGTTAGCACGTGGTTCCATTTTGTCTAATGGCGTTGGACAGCTTCACTAAGAGTCACCCAGTTCTACCCTGCTACAGTCCGGCTGAGTGCAGTCACAGAGATGCTATGGCTGCTCTACATGACATTAATGGTTTGGTCCGAGAATGGACACCATTTCCTGCTCCCAGAGAGAATGACGCTCCTCACACTGAACAATACAGCCATTGACACTGTCTCACGTGGGTCTGCTCCCCCCCACCGAGCCATGAACTGGAAGCTGGAATTCTGAACACTTGGAACTGTCACACCAGCACCAACCCTTGGGTCAGTTAGATGAGACTAACGGCTTCACTTAGGGCATATGGGTCAGAAATATGACTCTCGTTACCACGGAGTGGGTTGTTTGTTTTTTTAAGGCTATTCATACTGCTATGCAGAGTGAAGAGCCCCTACTATTTTAACAAATACGATGTCAGGGGCC